AACTTGCTGTCTTGTGGTTTCGTGTTTCCAACCTACTAGCGATGGCCCCTCAACCTGCCCTCGACGGCCTCCAACCTAAGAGCGAAGACCTCCAACTTTGACCGCTTTGCTGTCTTGTGGTTTCGTGTTTCCAACCTACTAGCGATGGCCCCACAACCTGCCTTCGACGGCCTCCAACCTAAGAGCGAAGACCTCCAACGTTGACCGCTTTGCTGTCTTGTGGTTTCTTGTCTCCAACCTACTAGCGATGGCCTCTCAACCTGCTTTCGATGGCCTCTAACCTAAGAGCGATGACCTCCAACTTTGCACCTTGTTTTACTCAGGTGTTTTTAACCTAGGCCGGCGTGTACACCCTATCCTAAGTGTGTGTCACACCCCGTCCCGAGGGGTACCACCTTCGTGCAGGGGGGGGCCAGGCCTGTCACGTCTGACCTGGCCCAACGAAGCTGGGATGTGGCAGGGGAAGCACCAAGGGACGCCTTGGTGTGTACCTGCCAAACAGCCGTTGTTCACGCTGTCTACTTTCCTGGTTCGCTTCCATGGTCGTTCCCATGATAGATCCCAAAACAGGTTTCCCTTTCTACGTATTCAGTAACTAACGTGCGCAGTCATACAAACTTTTGTTAAACACCTTCAATTCCACTGACCCAGCTGCCTTGCCATTTGCGTCCATTTTGCACTCGCCACGTATTCAGCAACTAGAGCCCGCAGTCGCGCAAACCTTTTTGTTAAACAACTTCACTTGCACTGACCCAGCCGCCTTGCCGTTTGCATCCTCGTTTCGTGGGGATTGATGTAACTGAAAACCCATTGTCAAAGTGTGTGTGTGTGTGTGTGCGTGTAGAAGCCACAACCATTCTGCCATCGAGGAGTCTCAACGCCAAGCGGCTTGATTGCTACCAGCTGTGTGCTCACGGCAAGCATTTTTGCCACGACCTCCAAGAGTGTCCGAGTTTTCCCTCGGAAATCCAGCAGCAGTGTCGGAATACAATGCTTCAGGCGCATGTAGATGCCCATGCACAGCCTCGCCATGTTTCACTCGCTTGCATTCACTGACAAAACTTTATCCAAAATAAAAAGACTCATAGCAAAGACAGAACTAAGGACATTTCTGGGGAACATATGGTCAAAATTGTTGTGGAAGTTCCATCCTCTTGTTTGTTGCTTTGCTGAGGAAGATTGTCGAGATGCTTTGCTCAAGACGCTCACTCTGTTCAAGCTTGCGCAGAATGGCGAACTGAGGTGGACAAACGTTGTTGCGGGCACGTTTCTATGATGCGCAGTGGATTCTAAAAAAAATATATATTCCAACCGGCATTCTCATGTTCAGAATTTTATCTTGTGTTTTCTCGAAGTCGTTCTTACCTCCACAGATTTGGGGTTTCATGTTTTATTGCATTTTATTGCCCTTACAAAAGCTGACGGTATGAACCCTTGTCTTCACATGCTCTCTGCCTACTTACACGGCATATAAGCGCACAATAGCCGACAATTCTGCTTGATACAAAAATAGTTTGCTCAGTTGCCCCGCAGGTAGCTGGAAACAATTTACAGTAGGAGTTTTCCCTCTCTTGAAGCCAGGCCCCATTCGTAACTGCATTCAGCATTCTGCGACCGTAGCATTGCTTTGCTAGCCCTACAGTTGGCGGCAAAATGAAGCCCAAACTAGGTCCACGGCGCATAGACGGCCGTGGGTAATCAAGGATGGCCGTGGGGTAATCAAGGAATGATGTGAGCGACACTTCACCATTGGAATCATGGTGAATTCCACGCAGATTTGGATATAATCAAAATTTCGCTGGGGCAAAATGGTGATTCCCAAGCATTTTCGAAACTACGCATCTACTTTTGGCGTCGGACATGTGTGCGACTTTTTCACTCTTCACAGGCGGCGCAACAACTGAGCCGGTGTGGCACAGGTCAGGCTTTGTCGCCAAGCCCACATGTACACGTAGCAAGTAGCAAGTGCAACCGAACGTTAACATGCCCCACATTCGCACACGTAGCATCCGCTTCACGTAGCAAATGCAACCGAACCCCACCCCTCCCCACCCCAACCCATTCGCACGCGTAGCATCAACTTCACGTAACAAGTGCAACCGAACGTTAACATGCCCCACCCCACCACATTCCCACACGTAGCATTGTAGAAAACGAAAAATCACCAAAAATGCAAGAAAAGCCCACGGCCGTCTATGTGCCCTGGGCCAACTACACTACAACAAAAACCTACTTGGGATCTACGCCGGCATAATTTTTGTAGAAACCCTTTCACATCCGCCTTCTTAACGAGTTATTGGATGGAGGCGGGCTGCAAGGGATGGCGCCTCACTTGCGCACACAAGATTTAACTCACCTGCGCACACAGCCTTTTTTATACATTTAACTCACCTCCGCACACAGGGTTCACTCAGCTGCGCACTCATCGATTACATTCTTCTTTAAACAGTGCATGTTACCTCCGACCTGCGCACACACAAATTGAATCACGATGATCTCTTTTTGCTCATTGCTTCCACAGTACCACGTCACACAGATGCTCTGCGTTTGATTGATGCTATTGGGTTGGGATGGGGGGGTGGGGGGTGTTAATAACGTCCCTCTGGACATTCATCCACTCATTCGTTCATTCGTTCATTCATTCGTTCATTCATTCATTCAGCCGAGCAAGCGGCGTGCACAGCCAAGTAAATCTATGCGCGTGTACAGGCGAGGAAAATTCCGCGCGCACAGCCGAGGCTCCGCCCCTCCTATTGACATCACCCCCCCACCGAAAACAAGACGGAACCCAAAAACAAGCGCCCAAACATTCTTTGACACTCTTGTAGGAGACTTCAGAGGCCACAGCTCCCAGAAGCTGCCCGTACTATATTTGTACTGCAAAAGCTGCCAGTTCTACAGCTCGCAGAAGCTGCTTGCCGCACAACATTTGTACTACCAAGTGGTCAGTTCTGAGGCCACAGCTATCAGAAGCTACATTTGCACTACCAAGTGCGCAGTTCTGAGGCCGCACCTGCCAGAAGCCCCTTCACGCAGTAGATTGCACTACCAAGTGGCCAGTTCTGAGGCCTCAGCAACACTGGGACGCTCTTGCGAAACACTCTCTGAGGACACTTGTGGGAAACTCTTGTAAGGCACTCTTGTGGGACATTCTGTGGGCCACATTTGGCGGGCACTCTTGTAGGACACTCTTGTACGACAGTCACTCGAACTCGCGTGGGACACTCTTGTAGGACTCTGCCGGACACTCTTGTGGGGCAACTACTACTAAAGTCTTGAGAAGTCAACCCCCGGGCACACGCCACAGCGACATTCACCTCCACCACAACTGCGCCTGCCACGAAAAGTGACAATATCATATCTTCGTAGCTTCAGCAAAGTTTGCACCACGCCCTTTTTTTAGTTTGCAGACCATCGGCCTTCTAGTTTGGAGGCCATCGCCCTTCTTCTAGTTTGGAGGCCATCGCCCTTCTTCTAGTTTGGAGGCCATCGCCCTTCTTCTAGTTTGGAGGCC